TTTCACATAGCTGTCTACCAAAAACTGTTGGTAAAGCTTTCCAGAATAATGTAGAGGATTGAAGTAGTCTCGAACGGCGATCATGTGAGAGTAGTATTCTTTCTGAGAAATTCTTGTTCGTCTCCTCTCAGAGGGGTTCTTATGCATATTCGGATGCCATTATGGTTTGGGCAGGAATTACTTCTGAAACCATGACACCGCTTGTCTTTGTGGATGAATACATCAAAGCCAGCGCCCAGATCTACCCGGAAACAATTTTCACGTAATGCCCTTCTTCCAAGGACTCTTTTGACCTTCAGCGAACGTCATTGCATTCTTCAGCAAGACAGGGCGCCTCCACATGCCGCAAAATCAATGTTGGAGAACTGTGACCGTCATTTTCCAAGTTACCGGGCACAAAATGTTTGGCCATCTAAGTCGCCCGATTTGAACCAATTGATTTGGCGGTGTGGGGCCGCGATAGCGGGCGGAGCAAAACTGGTATATGATGCTTGTATAAAGAGTGCCTACATATAGGCAGCTCACTGGCCCATTTTTAAAGCCTAGCAGATAAAGTGGCAGAGAGAGATTCAGCCTCCCTTACAACGAAAATGTTTTCCGTCGCTCTTACAAGGGAGGTCTTTCAGGGCAAGGTGCGCTTTTTCAAAACGGTTTTGTGCATATTGTAGGGACGCATGTAGGGAACACAAAACCATGTTTCATTTTCGCTGAACGGTTTAGCAGTACCAAAAAAGCATAAGGTACTGTTAATGGTTCGATCCCCGTGGCGACTAAATTTTGCATTTGGGTTGGCGCCTACGGTTGGTGCCAAATCGCGCTAAATATCAAAATCAGATGTCAAATTCATCGTCAGGACCATTTTGAAGCCAACAAGTGGCCGCCAACCTTGATTGCAAAATTTAGTCGCCGCGGGGGATCGAACCATCAAGGGTATCATTCACCACTTTTTTGGTACTACTAAAACCGTTCAGCGAAAACGAAACATGGTTTTGTGGTCCATACATGCGTCCCTACAATATGCAAGAAACCGTTTCCAAAAAGCGCGGCTTGCCCTGAAAGACCCCCCTTGTAGCTGCTTAACTGGTGCCATAGTGTATCTATACGGTAATGAAACCACATAAATCAGGCAACCGGGAATTATTGTATAGCGTTCAAAATTCGGCCAGTTTGAAAGTTAGCTATTGTCTGAGACCACCTGGAGCTTGCTTGAAAGGGATGAAGCATGTGAAAAGGTGTACGAAATCGGTCATATAGAGCCCCATCCACTGTGGACGGAGCATTCACTGAAGTTTGAACTTTTCTAGAGAGAGCCTTCGGGAGTTTTTCTCGAGGATATTTCTTCATTTTTAGAATATACCAGATTAGTCCCCCGTCAACCGCCGGGACCTTCCTTTCCTGCGCAAGCTTTCTATCCTCCGCTATGGTCCCTTCCTCCTGTGACACCAACACCTCGTGGAAGTGACGCGTATGCAACACAATGGTGTTTCAAACAGTAGAAGGGACACAATCATGATATGACGGTAGATTTTTCGCTTCCCTTCCTCCCCCTCCCTCTCTCCACTGCCCTCCAGCTGCCACTGCAGCACCATGTGGAATGAACGGAAGTGTGCTAAGCAGGTGTTTATATAGCCCTAAGAGTGTTATCACAACTATCCTGCTACAAAACATTGATATCTCAAATCCTGTAAGCTACCCGATTTGTTAGCGGTTTGTTTATCCCATGAGCTTCCTTCTCACTCACTTCATTTTGCGGACGGACACACATACATACATACATACACACACACACACATACAGATACACAAACCGACACACAAAGTTAGCGCTTTATAAAATAGAAGGATAATTAACAGATAGCAATAATGAACAACAAATAGCAATTTGTACTGTCTTCAAGTACGCAGCGACAGCACTGCCTCCGCACGCTTGATCGGTGGCCCTATGCAATGGCGTCCACCCTGAAAGTAGCCTAAAATACTATTACCAATATACTTTCCACCATGAACAACCCGAATGGACCCGTCGCACGTCGAGATTAATCTGGGTCAGTATTTTCCCTCACCCATTCATTCCATTCATACGCAACAAGTAAGTCTAGCACCGACATAATGCAACGCCTTATTGGTGATGACCCGTGAAGCCTTCAAAGCCATCACTACTGTTTTACTTATCGCACTACGGAGCACTGGTAGCCCACGTCCAAGGTACGCCGACACAAGGCCTGCATCTGATGTCCTTGTGCCGGGCCCGGTGCCGTTTTTGGGAACGATCACCCTTGCCATACTGAGAAGCATGCCTTTGAACCCACAGCCAACAGTACCTTTTAATACATTGTTCTTCATTCAATTTATTCACCGATTTTACACGAGAAAAAAAAAAACATAGGGCAGAATAACTAGTTCACCAGCCCAGAACAACCCCTCTGAAAGAGTGAATCCTAATCAAAATACCGCCGTTTAATGTCGCCTCCGAGCATGACGTTCGGGGCCGTGTCGCCTCCTCCCCACCTTCCTGCCTATTTTCATGCAACCGTCAATGTGTCAGCACTGTACCCTTACCGTTTGTACGCACGTTCATTTTACAGCCGGAGCAGTGGAAGCCTTGCTTGACTAAGCCGAACAGCATCGAACCGCAATGGTCGCAAAATGTCGGACGGTGGTAGTTACGAAGAGTGAAGTGGTGCTCCTCGTTGAGGTCAGCAGGATCCATACCAGTCTAGATCGAGGACAAAAATTAATATGACTAATAGAAGTCTGATAATTCTCTTTTTTCACATACATACCAACTCTGAAAGTGGTATCGAAATTAGAAAAGTTTAACACATTTAGAGTTTACTGATGCCTTTTCACGATACACGACCCTCGCCTTCCGGTCAGAATCGTAATGGCACTACTTGAAAATACAATTGTGGCTCAGGGGTAAATTCTAGGCAGGGATCATGTGAAGTAATCCCTCCGGTCTAGACCCCTAGAGGACAATCACAGGCGTGGTATCCCCGCGCACGAAAATTACCTGACAAACGCTAAAGCACTTGCAATGTGAGCTGCAGCAGCTGCAACTTTTTTTCTCTTATCAACTGTTGTCTGGCGCTCTCTCATCTGTTGCGCTCTCTGCCTCATACTCTCCGCGCTTAGTCTCTCATGCCTTAGCACAGCCGATTATGGAAGGTGAGTGAGCCCTAAGCCTTTCTGACAGATTCTTATCCTTTTCCTTAATGTCTTTCCCTTCGCACAATACATTCGTATTCGTGAGCCACAACCAACCAATTTGTTCCTGGGGCATACCTTCAAACCGTTTTTCTCCAGGATAGCCTAATATCAAGTCACTCAAACCGGAGAGGGGAACCAGTGGGCGTAGATGAAATTACATCCAGGGATTTTGCCGTTAAAGCCTCGGTGAATTGTGCATATATGTAGGTGCAGATGATTCCACCCGAAGGTCGTATTTGTGGTTTTTGAAAGGGTCGTGTTTCTGGATCTTTTGTACTGGGACTGAGTTGTGCTGAGGTTTCCCCATTTCCTTTTTTCCTTATTGATGGAGTCGTATTGGGGCAAGTAGAGCGGTCGCTTTGCAGTAGAGCTCTGAGGGGTCTTCCGACGAAATTTTTTCCACTATTTACAAAACCATAAATTTTATGAGAGCGGTATTAGGTTAAAATGCGATGAATGGTCTCGCATCAGGAGTTGTAGAAACAGCCACGGAGTAAGAGGCGATGGTGGGGGGGAGGGGGTGTGGAGAGGTCGTGTAGGAGGAAACCC